TTAGACCCCCCCTAGACCCCTCCTTACCCCCCTGGCGACCCCCCAGTCTCCCCCTGAGGACCTTTCTAGACTCCCTTATCTCCCCCTGGTCACCCTCCTCGACCCCTCCTGACCCCCCAGTCTCCCCTGGAGGGCCCCCCCAGATCCCTGAGGACCCCCTAGGTCCCCTTATCTCCCTCTGTGGACCCCCACAGAACCCCCTTGACCCCTCCTGACCCACTAATTCCCCCTGGGGACCCCTCATACCTCCCCCAGACCCATCCTGACCCCCCGTGGGGACCCCCTGAGCCCCCAGTTTCCTCCCAGACCCTCCGGGAATCCCTTAGACCCTCTTATCTCCCCCTGGGCACCTCCCAGACCCCTCCTGACCCCCCAGTCTCCCCCTGAGGACCCCCCTAACCCCCTTCTCCCCTCTCTCCCAGCACCACCCGGGGCCCTGAAGCCGGAGATGCCCCTTGGCCATGGCGGCCCCGGCGCCCCTTAAGATGCCAGCGGCGTCGCCGCCAGCGCCCGTCCTGCTGCTGCTGCTGCTGCTCCTGGCGGCGCCGGCGGTGCCGGGGGCCGCGCCCACGCCCTGCCCGGCCGCCTGTACCTGCAGCAACCAGGCGAGCCGGGTGATCTGCACCCGGCGCGAGCTGCTGGAGGTGCCCTCGAGCATCTCGGTGAACACCCGCTACCTGAACCTGCAGGAGAACCACATCCAGGTGATCCGCACCGACACCTTCAAGCACCTGCGGCACCTGGAAATCCTGCAGCTCAGCCGCAACCTGGTCCGGAAGGTGGAGGTGGGCGCCTTCAACGGGCTGCCCAACCTCAACACCTTGGAGCTGTTCGACAACCGGCTCACCACGGTGCCCACCCAGGCGTTCGAGTACCTCTCCAAGCTGAGGGAGCTGTGGCTGAGGAACAACCCCATCGAGAGCATCCCATCCTACGCCTTCAACCGGGTGCCGTCGCTGCGGCGCCTCGACCTGGGCGAGCTCAAGCGCCTCGAGTACATCTCGGAGGCCGCCTTCGAGGGGCTGGTGAACCTGCGCTACCTCAACCTGGGCATGTGCAACCTCAAGGAGATCCCCAACCTCACCGCCCTGGTGAGGCTGGAGGAGCTCGAGCTGTCGGGGAACCGGCTGGGCCGGGTGCGCCCAGGGTCATTCCAAGGCCTGGGGAGCCTGAGGAAGCTGTGGCTGATGCATGCGCGGGTGGCGGCGGTGGAGAGGAACGCCTTCGACGACCTCAAAGCTCTGGAGGAGCTCAACTTGGCCCACAACGACCTGGCCTCGCTGCCCCACGACCTGTTCGCTCCCTTGCACCGCCTGGAGCGCGTCCACCTCCACCACAACCCGTGGCGCTGTGACTGCGACGTGCTCTGGCTCAGCTGGTGGCTGCGGGAGACGGTGCCCAGCAACACCAGTTGCTGCGCCCGGTGCCACGCGCCACCGGCGCTGCGGGGCCGGTACCTGGGCGAGCTGGAGCCGGGCCACTTCACCTGCTACGCGCCTGTCATCGTGGAGCCGCCAGCCGACCTCAACGTCACTGAGGGCATGGCGGCCGAGCTCAAGTGCCGCACGGGCACAGCCATGACCTCGGTCAACTGGTTGACGCCCAACGGGACGCTGATGACGCACGGCTCGTACCGGGTGAGGATCTCGGTGCTGCACGATGGCACGCTCAACTTCACCAACGTGACGGTGCAGGACACGGGCCAGTACACCTGCATGGTCACCAACGCCGCCGGCAACACCACGGCCTCAGCCACGCTCAACGTCTCGGCCGCTGACGCTGCCGCCGCTGCCGCCGCTGCCGCCGCTGCGGCCACAGGCTACACCTACTTCACCACGGTCACTGTGGAGACCACTGAGGGCGGCGGTGAAGAACAAGCCCCCCAGACCCCGCCGGCGCCCACAGCACCCGGGTGGGACCCCTCCGGCGGCTCCACGGCGGCGCCGGCCACGCGCGCCACAGGGAAGCCCTTCACGGTGCCCATCACCGCTGCCGCGGCGGCGGGCGCCGGGGCGGCGGGAGGGGGTCTCCAAGACCTGGACGACGTGCTGAAGACCACCAAGATCATCATCGGGTGCTTCGTGGCCATCACCTTCATGGCGGCCGTGATGCTGGTGGCCTTCTACAAGCTACGCAAGCAGCACCAGCGCCACAAGCACCGCGGGGGCCCCGCGCGCGCCGTGGAGATCGTCAACGTCGAGGACGAGCTCTCGGGGGGGCCTGGCGGGGGCGGGGGGGGTGTTGGGGGCACGTCAGGGGGGGTGGGGACGTCGGGGGACAACAGGCTGGCACTGCCGGCGCTGGAGAGGGAGCACCTGGACAGGTATGCGGCACTGGCCGCCCACTACGGGGGCCCAGCGGCGGCGCTGGGGTGCGGGAAGACCCCCCTGCTCAACTCGGTGCATGAGCCGCTGCTGTTCAAGAGCCCCTCCAAGGAGAACGTGCAGGAGACCCAGATTTGACCCCCCCCAAAAGAAAGTGAGGGGTGGGGACCCCATTCTCCTGCACAGAGACTCAATTCTGGCCCCCCCATAAAGGGGGAACGGGGACCCCCCCAATCCTGGACTTGACTCCCCCCAGCAAGGGGGAATGGGGACCCCCCCTAAACCTGGACTTCACCCCCATGAAATGGGGGAAACAGAGAAGCCCCTCCTGCCCAGAGACTTGGATCTGACCCCCCCAGAAAGGGGGAACAGGGACCCCTCCTAAAATCTGGATGTGACCCTTCCCAGAAAGGGGGAACAGGGACGTACCTAAACCTGGACTTGACCCCCCCCACCCTGAAATGAGGGGGTGTGGGGACCCCCCCTAAACCCCAGACTTGGACCTGAACCCTCTGAAAAAAGAGGGAGTAGGGACCCCCCGAAACCTGGACTTGACTCCCTGAAATGGGGGAAAAAGGGACCCCCCCTAAACCTGGACTTGACCGCCCATGGAAGGAGAGGGACTGGGGACCCCCCTAAACCACAGACCTGGATCTGACCCCCTCCTCAAACCCCTCCTGTTCCAGAGCCCCCCCAAGGAGAACAAGCAGGAGACCCAGATTTGGCCCCCCTAAAAGAAAATGAGGGTGGGACCCCTTTCTCCTGCTCAGAGACTCAATTCCAACCACCCTGGAAAGGAGGAACAGGGACCTCCCTAAACCTGGACTTGACCCCCCTTAAACCACAGACCTGGATCTGACCCCCCCAAAAATTGGGAAGTGGGGACCCCCCCCACTTATGGACCCGGATCTGACCCCCCCCCCAAACAGGGGGCACAGGGACCCCCCTCTAAACCACAGACTTGGACCTGACCCCCCCAAAATGAGTGGGGGGAGTGTGGGGACCCCCCCCAAAACGGGGGGGCACAGGGGGACCCCACCGACCCAGTTCTGACCCCCCCAAAATGAGGGAGGGGGCCTGGGAGCAACCCCCTCCCCCCCAAAAAACCCCACCCTGTGGTGCCCACCTGCCCATTTTTGGGGGGGGGAGAATTGGGGGCAGGTTTTGGGGAGGGGGGACAAATTTTGGGGGGGCTTTGCTG